CTTACTTGTGAGGAGAAGCTTGTGAACACAAAACTGTAGGATTCCCCGTTGTTGTCACTGATGATGCCTTGCTTTACGACGTTGTAGACGATCAGTTGTGTGCGGAGTGAGTTGTGAGTTTCGTGTGATTCCTCCGGTATCATCACTCCCTCACAAAGACATCGGATGGGTTCCTCATCTCAATTGTGAGGAGAAGGTTGTGGACACAAAACTGTAGGATTCCCCGTTGTTGTCACTGTTGATGCCTTGCTTCACGACAATGTCGACGATCAGTTGTGTGCGGAGTAAGTTGTGAGTTTCGTGTGATTCCTCCTGTATCATCACTCCCTCACAAAGATATCGGATGGGTTCCTCATCTCAATTGTGAGGACAAGATTGTGGACACAAAACTGTAGGATTCCTCGTTGTCGTCACCGATGTTGCCTTGCTTTACGACGTTGTCGACGATCAGTTGTGTGCGGAGTAAGTTGTGAGTTTCGTGTGCCTCTTTTGCCATCATTACACCAACACAAAGACATCGGATGGATTCCTCTCCTCACTTGTGAGAAGAAGGTCGTGGACACAAAACTGTAGGATTCCCTGTTGTTGTCACTGTTGTTGCCTTGCTTTACGAAGTTGTCGACGATGACGATCAGTTGTGTGCGGAGTAAGTTGTGAGTTTCGTGTGATTCCTCCTGTATCATCACTCCCTCACAAAGATATCGGATGGGTTCCTCATCTCAATTGTGAGGAGAAGGTTGTGGACACAAAACTGTAGGATTCCCCGTTGTTGTCACTGATGTTGCCTTGCTGTACGACGTTGTCGACGATCAGTTGTGTGCGGAGTGAGTTGTGAGTTTCGTGTGCGAGTCCTTCCTGACAAAGCAACGTCATTTCTTCCTCCATGCAAGAGTTTTGGGTCTTTGACTTGATCGTTTTCTCTGATTGAGCTTCTATTGGATCTGTTATGACTGGAGTGGCCTTTTAGATTTGCGTTCTCACTCGTGTATTTTGTCTCTACTTTTATGTTGGACCCAATCTGAAAAGTAGTATCTTTTGTAGGTTTGGATTTATATACCTGATCCTGCACGACAGGGTTGCTCGGCCAAAGTGTCTCTTCAATTATTACGTCGGTCAATTGACACATACAATCGTTTCAACTTTCTTTGGGTGACCTCTGATCATGGAAACCACCAACTCCACCAAATATCTCTACTACGAACCAAAGACTAAGCGCTGGAGCGTCTATGTTAGGTGAGTTGCTTCAGGCTACAGTCACCGCTTCTAATTCCGATTGTTCGACAGATGGGTGAGATGTCTCATTAGCTGATAGAAAACCGTTGCATTTGATGCTGGTCAAGGGTCACCTTCTTCAAGGTGGTTGTGTGGCTTATCATTCTATCAAAGCTCTAATCCATCTTATACGACTGGTAACCTGTCTGCAGGGAACCCTGGGTTAAGGGGAAGAGAATCTTTCTAGGTATTTGTTATCGATCTTTTTTCAACTTTGGTTTCTACATGTGATTCCCTGACTACTGTCGCTCTTGCTGAGATTCCCTGACTACTGTCGCTCTTGCTGATTCCTATTCTCAGGTACGCATGAGTCACAGCGACTGGCAATCAGGTATGATCGCTTCCAATCTTGCAATCGCTGACCTGTCCAGTGCATCAGGTTTTCGACTTTGGTACACTAGTGCTGATTTTGTTTGTTCACACGGAAGGTGCCAGGATAGGGCAAAGCTGAAGCTGGAGGCTGAGCTCGCTCATATGTCCACAGCGGAGCGCGAGATAAAGAAAGTTCAGCCGATCATCCTGGAGTTTCCGAGAGAGGATTATGAGGATGACAAGGGTGGAAAGAGGGATACGCTGTCCAGGAAGGAGTTCTTCAAGTACCTCGCCCATGAGAGTAGGGCAAAGTACCAGCAATACAAGCCGACACCCTGTGAGATCATAACCAAACACAATTCATACAGTCTAGTGTGCGGATGTTGTGACTGATTTTGCTGCAATTCGATTGCGTTAATTTATGACTTCAATTTTGCTGAATGAGTTTTGGTTCACGGAATATTAGCACGTAGTAGGTCTTTCATTTGCTGTGGGATCAGTCAACACGATCTGGAGGTAGATTTTGTATTGCCCCATCGTAGATTATTAAGTTTTGATAAGGTTGTTCATTTGAAGAGACGATCTGGAACTTGAGTTTTTGATATCTCTAGGCCTACTGAAATTCTTGGCGGAGGAGCGAGAGTATGAAAGTTTGTCGAGATCATCCTCCCAGAAGTTGAACGAAGAGGTAAAACGAGCTCATATCGTTCAACGCAGGAACCATGGGAACCTGCGTAGACAATCACAAGCGCCTCGCCTAGGTATCACCTTGCGTCTGAAGAGGTGAGCTTAGTGGCGGTCGATGATAAGGATTGGCTAGATGTCCGCCTGACTGGATCACTAAGCAGTTACTGAGTGTAACTTCCCGAGTACCGTCATCCACATGTCATGGTTTTGTGAAATAACGTGCTGCTGCTACTGCACAAATAGTTCGTACCTTCTATAATTCTAGCATTCATGGAACTGCGCAATCCTTCGTCACGAATAAAGTTCACTGGGCAGGAAAACGAGTATGGTTGAGTAAATTGATCCCGTGGCGTAATACACAGGAAATGTGCATCGAGGTTTACTATTGAAGAGAAGGGAGCAATTGAAGCCTTGTTCTCCATCAAGCATGCCAGTCATCGCCACTCAACGTTCCTTGCCGATCAACTCTGAAATAGTCATGAAGCACTGGACTCACCCAGAGTCCAATCGTCTAAGTTCCAGAGCATCAATCTGAGAAAATTTTGGTATTGAGCATCTCACCAAGGGGGAGAGCCGGCTGCTAGTTACGTAGTCATGATTCAGGATTGGGCTAACAACTGAATTGTTTTTTTGGAGACAAGTAACCTGATTCTGTATAACGGACAACTGATCAGTTATGTAAATACTAATATTTCTGTGTATAGTCTTCTTTTTGTTGCTTGAATACCTCCCTATTCTCCATGTCTCGTATTCATTTACATTCTTGTCAGTACAGGCTGTGACAACTGTTCAGGACTGAGCTAAGTCCGAAAGCTCGTACATTATACACTACTGTGCCAACAACTGCACTTCTGTTTCTACCGACACCCATGTCAGATCAATACTACCAACTCCAAGAGTTCAACAAATGAGCTGATAAAGGTTACTTACTTGGGTCTGATGCTGCTGTCGTTGGCATTCACAGTGCAAATCACAACATGTAAGAAGCTGCTCTGTGGTGTTGCAAAGTTGCGTTTCACCGACATTATCTATTGCTTACTCCAGGCAGGGAAATCACTGCGGAGAGATTAGTCTTGATCAGCACATTTCCATTGCTGTCTCTAAGTAATTAATATAAGTAGAACTTAATATTACCTCAAAGTAAATTAAATAAATAATATAAATCCAAAATATTAATGCTCATTTATAAAAGTACGCATGAATAAAATTGGTGTTTAATATAGAAAAAATGGTATTACAAGAAGAATTTTTAAACCATCTACTATCAATATCACATCATACATGCATTTGATTATAAATTTACATCAAAAATAAAATTATGATAGTGATAAGTAAAAATAAATCCAACTTGACTATGTATAGCATCTTAAAACATAAGAATCACATTTAACTCCTATGATTGATTGATTTTTTTATTTTATATATATATATATATATATATATATATATATATTACAAACACTTTACCATGTTTTGATAGAAAATTAGTTTTTCATACTTTCAAAAATACAAAGATAAAATTAGAAAAATCAGGAAATATATACAGACATATCTAATATAAAGTTTAACATTCATTTAAAAAAAATGTAATCTTTAACTTTAAGTTACTTAGACCTTTCTTTAGATAAAAAAATGCATTATTTATTAGAAATTATTAATTTTTTATATTTCAAAAAAAATAATTTAATATTTAGATATTTCTTTGAAGGTACTGATAAGAACAAAAGAAAGATTAAGAGTTACATTGATTATATTAGATTCTATTTGCAAAGAATTAAATAGAAAAAATATGATATTTGAAATTAATTAAATAATATACTTTAAATTAATTTTTAAAATTAAATAAATGTAATGAATTTATTATGTATTATAACCATCATTAAAGATAAACTTATTAACTAAGAAGTAAAAAGTTAACATTAGAAAATATATTGTTAATAAATTATTATTAAAGTAAAAGCCTTAAAATCTTTATGGAGACATTAGTAATATTTTAAAAGAGTTTAGAACCAATTGGTGCAACAGTACAATGATAGATAAATAAGCACACAACAATTTAGATTAGGCTGATAGTATGTAAGGTTTACCTTGAAATTAAAAAATATTTCTTTAAATTTAGACCAAGCTAATAAAATAAATTTACTAACACCAAACAATAATAACCATATTTGTTGATTAAATGGACATATCTATCCATCAAGTAAAAATTTAAGAGCAACATACAACACAAGAACTTTTATCCACAAATTGTTGGTTTTGTTAATGATGTAAAGAAATAAATAAATAAATAGTAAATCTCCTTGTAAAGAGAATCACAAATACACAACATACCACACCTCCAAGCCCTTCCCAAAATTTCAAATACATTCTTAGATATTGTGTTCACTCTTTACAAACCTTCACTCTACAATAGCTATTACGTAAGATCCCATCCAACACTCATCTCCAAAACCAACACAATCATTTACAAAAATACTAGAATTCCGGCCTCGTCTTTCATTAACTAAGCATTCTTCATCGTGTATTCTTCCTTTTAGGAAAGCGAGGTCGGGAATCGCCCGGCATTGGAACGCACGCCGGAACGAGGAAGAGGCGAAAGGGCCACGAGACTCATGCCCTCCGCCTGCCACGGTGGACAGCCATGTCGTCGCCCAAGTGGAAGGGGTAGTGCTGACATGGCCCAGGCGGAGCGGTTGTGCAATATGCAGGGCGGGGTTGTGTTGACTTGGCGGCGATGGTGATAGCGACACTCTGTGCAGCACCAATTTCGAACTAGCGCGGGTTTGAAGTAGAACCATCCAAACCAAACGCATTCGGATTCCCTCCTCCTCCTCCTTCTTCTTCTTCTTCCTTCCCTCCCTCACTTAGCACAAAGCTTCGAACTGCTCCGCTGCGGGTTTCGCTTCTTTGTTTTCGTGGGGAATTTCTTCGAATTGGCGACTTGTAGTGTGGTCTAGTGGTCGCTGATGACTTGCACTGATTTGAATGGTGTCGCGGATTGACGGGCGTCCCTGTTACAGCCGGCAGCGACCTCGGGTGAAGGGAGTTTTTGCCGTGTCGTGGAGATGACGTTTTCGGTTGTATTGACCTTGGATCAATTCACTGGATTGTGTTGAGTTTACAGTTTTAGTTCGGGCTTGGTGGTCGTCACAGTGTAGAGATGGTGTTGTGTTTAGAGATGGTGATTTCCACAGAAGAGTTTGACTCGTTCAATTGCATAATGGAATATGTCAGAATTGGGCAGAGTTGAAGAGTTGCTAGCGAGGTTCGTCGACCTTGAAGGACGCTTTGGCCGATTCGGGTAACTCTGAGCTTCGGTCTTTGGAGTTACGGTTTTAGTGCGTGTCTTGATCGCCTCAGGTTATTCAATTCCGCTTCTGCATGCTTAGGAGAAATAGTGCACGATTTCAATGTGAGACAAAGTACGCTTCAGAACCGCATATTGTATTTGTCAGCCTCCGCAGCATAAGAATTGGTAACCATGTGAACTGCCGAGGTGGGCCATAACCTCTGAAGTAGGAGATTCAGAATCGTAAGTATGGAGAAAGTCGTCGTACTAAAATCGCAAGACCTGGGTCTGACTTTGCTGCAACCTAGAAAGCATGCCGGAAAGGCTCCATGTAAATCACAGAGAGATCATCGCATATGGAGGACTTCTACCCTCAAAGGCCTCGGTGAAATTGAGGTGATCGACAAAGAAGAAGTCTCAATTAAAATGATGCAATCGCTCGAGAGATTCATGCGAGCGTACCCTGACGTGTGGAGCGAATCATCTTTGCAGCACCTCCTTGTGGTAGAGATCCTCTGTTGTTAAACCTCTCAATTTGTAACGACTAGTTACTCTAAATTGCCACCATGAAACGTCGAGCTGTGATGTTACTCAGTCCATTTGTTTCGATCATCTTTGAGTCTATAATCCCCTTTCAAGCATGTATAATTACCCATTTTTCTTGCATTTCATCGGGTTAAGTTGACTGAAAAATTGGGCGCTACGGTCCATTCAAGTCTTATGTGAGGAGGATTTTTCAAATTCTTTTTTTTTTTTTTTTTCAAAATGTAAATACAGGAAATCGCTGATATCCGGTACTCTAGTTCCCAGAACTGTGAAGCGGACGAGCGCTTGCAAACTATCATCAACCAGATCTTGGTTCCCACGGCAAAGATTTTGGAGGATGAAAGAGGGTTTATGATGGTCGAGAGGGAGAAGATTCAAGAAGTAAATCTGGCTTTGCAGAGAGCCCAAGAAGCATACCACCATGTGTGTGCCGACCTGAAGGAAGAGAAAGACAGATCAGCAAGGCAAACAATCTTAGTACTTCCGCGCTTCGAAAAGAGTTCTGGCTTTGAGGTTTTTCTACATATATCAGTATGGTCTGCTAAAGTTTCTGAGGCTTTTGCTTGTTACTCGCATTATTCTCAGACATCAATGTTGGTAACATGCGAGAGATTAAGAAACTCAACCGTGCATGGAGCCCAAGCCATGGAGGGGATGCACGTCATGGTTGTAGGCAGTCAATCTCTTTACGAGTCAAAATATGAGACTAGCACTAAGAGTAACAGATGTGTTATTTTGGTTCTGATTCCAGATATGTAGAAGAACTTGGGAAGGCGCTTGAAGAAAATAGGGCTGCAGCGGAGGAGGCAGAGAGAAAGCTGGCCGCAAAAGAGCAACAAACTAATGATATTATAGAGAGGCAGAAAGACATTATTCTACGTCTTGTGAGCGGAGAACCTTCAGGATTTGTACAGTGCGAGAGGGAGGCGATTCAAACATACGGCCTAGTCCACCTTGAAGACGCACTTAAGCACATTCTGCAGCAAAGCTCGAGTGTCTCACACCAGGTGGAAAATAAAATACTCTTTTCGGTGGACCAGATTTCAGAATGTTCAAGTTCATCTGAGAATGAAAGAGGAAACGCAGATTTTCAAATCAAGCGGCTAGTGCATGAAGACGGTGACAAACCAGCACTTCCTATTTCTTTGACAAACTTGTCGGTGAAGCTGCTGGGCCTGGTGGTCTCTGAGGTATTCCAACAGATGATGGAGAGCTACGGCAGGGTGAGGAGTCCTTTATCCGTACCCTGGGCTATTGCTGGCTTTTGGATAGGTCTCACGTATCGAATGATATACTTGGTCGTAACAACGCTGTTTTCAGAGGTGGTGAAGGTGAAACCCCCCTCGGAACAGGATCAACGACAACCGAGATGACGAGGTGGAATTCCACAACCCGAGTTAAAAGTGGCTTCATGTGTTCACATGATTGTACATCCAAGTGAAGTGTCTGAAGTTGTGAGAACACTGAAGAAATCACGTCACCGTCTCTCATCTTCCCGACGAAACTCTAATCGGACAGCATCTACAACTGTAGCCCATGACCAACCAGTCAATTATGAATATTGATTATCCCGAGAGACCCATTTACTTCACGCATCATCTTCATTTGGGAATACGTCATGCAGTTTTTCTCTCAGCTTCTTGCGATAGCTCTCGGCCACGGTATACACATTAACAGGGCTGAGCAGGTTTAGTTAGAGTATTATAGGATTCTAAAGTTACCGAAGGGTTTTAAGATTATTATTGTGCGTATCTGTCAGGAGCTATGATCACACAACTTTTAAAGGTCAATTTCATGTACAGACAAGCAAAATCAAAGCAATTTTTCCAACTTGCCTTGTCCACAAACGTTGAGGAGATCCTGAATCTTTCTGCACTCATAATCTTCGTGAATCTTCATGATTGACTCAGTCTTGCTCTCCGTGATTTGCTCCAAGGATGTTGCTTGTGTCAGCAGAGGTTCAAGCTTTGGTTTGCAACCGTGCCCATGCTCCTCACAGCTCATGAAATGAGTCAACAATTACGAGACAGCTTCTGCAACTGTGTGCCAATACCTAAGCTTTTTTTTGGATAAAATTTAGGAAGCTTTACAAATTGCAATGAGTTCCCAAAGGAGAACGGCAGGGGGCTAAGTTTAGCCCCATAATAGAGTACACACCTGTTCTCCGAGCGATGCTCCGTTGACGAAATTTGCACCCACATACAAGAGATAAGCCAGAGGACGGTACTGTTTGTAGGTGAAATCAGCAATTCACTGCATTAAAACAACTGCAATTGATATGTGTAAGCATTTCGTCGGAGATAGAATGCAAAATTTTGTTGGGTACCAACAGTCCACCCACAGCAGCACGGAAACCTGAGTATACATGATCACCCAAGGATATCAACACCCCGTCATTTTCTCGGGTATGTGCACAAGGGCGGACAAGGACATGATTCTCATGGTGGGTGAATAGGGTTTGAGAATCCATCACTGTTACCGACCAATTCGAGGGATTGTTGTTGTGGAGCTGAATTTCCCACGATTTGTGCGGCTGGTATTTGCAGGAACATCCTTGATCTTAGTGGGATCTCCCATCTTTGGCGTTGTGAATTTCGGGGCTTGTAAGTCTCTGTTCTGATTTCTTTACCTCGTTTCTCACTTCAAGGGGAGTTAATTATGTCGTAGAGGGGCATCTATTTTTCTCTAGAAATTGTATGGCAATTCATTTGTTCTTGGGTTACTTGATAGCTCGATGCAGCGTTGATTGATTGTTTATTGTCCATACAGCGCAGGTTTTCGGTGTGCCGCGGGAAAGATACGTCAGCGGTAGAGAAGCGGAAGCGACAATGGTTCTCCTTCTACTGGAAATCAAGGCAGAGCTTGAGAATATTACCAACTTAGTTCCTAAAGGAGGTTCTGATGGAACGGAGTATACCTATTATTTCAAGGTAATTTATTCGGATTTCGAAAATGCGATTCTTTCTGTTTTGGAAGTGCAGAGTCTTTGTCCAACTGGGGATGACTGTTTTCACTTTATGATTTGATAACACAAATCTTTGAGCATCGCCTGCTGCGGTCCAATGTTGATCTGACTTGGATGGTGATTCTGCGCACGAATTTTACAGATCAAATGCGGAGGTTGTGGGACCGTAAGTGACAAGGAAACCTCTGTAACTCCATCAGAACTGTATGATATTCCTAAAAGCAAAGGCTCGGCCAATCTTGTGCAGAAGGTAACATATGTCCTCTTCATCTTCATCGCATCTCCAAAACCTTTCATACATGGCTTGGCAATGATTCTTGCTGAAGAATTTACCCTTGTTATGTATACCTTCTTTGACCTAGTTGTTTGCCATTTTCATGTACTCCATGCAGTGCAAATTCTGTGCCAAAGTAGGAAACATCACAGCGATCCCCGGACGCGAAAAGCCCTACACCATGGAGGACAGCGAGAGCGGCAAGTTTGTTCCCATTGGATGCTTTGACTGCAGAGGCATCGAGCCTGTTGAGTTTTCATTCAAGGATGGGTGGGCAGCCGAAGGAGTAAGCACCACAGTCCTACTACTTCTTTCCATTCTTTAGTTTTTCCATTTTGATTTTTGCACATACGAATTGGGGCAGGATTGAATATCTCAAAACCTGTTGCTCACTAAGAAGCTCCAAACAACCAACCAACCAGCTCTGCATCCATGATTCTGGCCAAGGTTGTCGAAGGTGTAACAGGATACTAAAAAAAAAAAAAAAAATGCTATGTCCTGCCCTTGAAATGAACTTTGACCGTCCTTCTGGATGCAGTTGACCGGCACCAAGTTTGTAGATATCGATTTGTCTGAGGAGTGGTCGGAGTACGATGAGAAGGCAGCGGAGTCCGTGGGCATTCTAAACATGCAACATCGGTTTGTGGTGACGAAGTAGGGGATTCTATGCTGAATCTCCACCGTTCTGCGAGCAAGTCTGCACCAGCATGTTGCAGTGGTTCCAGGGAATTATTGCAGCAAATGATATTGCAAGTTTGCAACTGTAGAAATGAGCCTAATGCAATGCAATCTTTGGGCAACGCCTGCAGTCTTAACATCCGCTTATGCGAAATATTGTCTAGAGTTTCATGGGTAGTTCATTAAGCTTCAGAATGCTTCACCACATGATGCACTAGAATCTGCTCTCACTATCTCCCGACGGGGTATGCGACTGCCAATTAATTAGACCATAAAACCCATCTTAACATCAGGATTTCGACAACACCTCGAGAGACTGGCAAACGTGAGCTAGCCGATTCAGTCTGTTTCGGGGCTAAGATCCCACATCACAACCAGCGCTCATCATGAATCAAACCATTAAACTTTTTCGGAATTGTTCCAGCCACTAGTTAATGAACTAAAAGATGGTAACTGTGCAAGCTCTTAAAGTGGGCTCAAACCTACAAAGGGTGACTTTGGCTAATATAGATAATCTGGAGTCCAACTCCGTAGTTGCTGAACTACCTCATGATGAAGATATTGAAAACTCCTCAGTAAGTGTTTAAAGTGAAACGACAAGAAGAAATTTAGCCTGTAGTTATTGCAGTACACGTACAATCATCGTGTTCTTAGAAAACACTACCATTTCATAAATTAGTTCAAAAACTAATTTTCTAATAGAAAGTGTTGACCACGTGTGATGAGAAACTTATAAGCTTCTGAAAGCAAGAAGTTGAGAAAGTGGGCGACTCCAAACTTGCGACAACCTCGCGAGGTTGTCGTATCTGGTTCACCATCGGGGGAGAATTGCCGATGAGATGGCGGAGCTTCTGTTCGTCCGTGGGGTCTGCTTGTGGATAATGCTGGTGGCTCTTTGAGGAAGAGGTTTCCGGGGCCCGCATCTCAATTCGGTTGATAGACACTTCGTTGCAAGCTAGCGGAGGCAACCAGCCCCAAGGTTTGCCAAGTTGACAGGACATGGAGCTCCGGACCTCCATTGCCTCTGTCTACACTGCTCGCGATGATTTCTTCACCTATTTTCCCAGGTGGGTGTGTGCGTGTGTGTCGATCTCGGACGCTTGTGTCGTGCGATGTCGTCATTGGTGTATGATTTTGCAAGGACGGTTTGTTTTGGGGAAGCCGTTTCCTTGTGTGGACTTGAAGGTGGGTAGCTACGTCTTGGGGAATTCGACAGTGCTGTAAAAGTCGGAAGGACATTGAAGATCTGTTTATGGTTTATTATGCAAATTTTGATAATCACTGGGATCGTGAGGCTTGGTTCCTACTCGGAATGGCTACTCATCACTGACATTCGAGACTGATATAAGTTTTAGAGAAATTGAGCTAGTTGCTGAAAAGAACAAGATGGCCTGACTAATAAGCACTTTCGCTTGATTCTGAATGGAGATTAGCTACTTATGGTAATGTGGGTTTTATGGATACGACATGGAATTCTTGAAGGAACTGGGGGCATATTACACCCCTTGTACGCACCCTGAGAAGGCAAATGGCTTCTGATCACCATCACCTTCGAGCGAATCTTGCATTTACAGACATGGTTGAATTGTCTCCGAGTGTGATAAATGTTGTCGTTTCCGCAGGAAATGGGACACTCAAACTCCAACGCCATTACGGCTTTTACCAAACTCGTACCAGCTCAGGTGCAATTGCTGCTCTTCTTCCAAACCAGATGCTCAGGAATCATCAAAACCAGTCCTGAGACGTAATGTATTGTCCCTTATGAGTACACTTCTCGTGACTGCGGCAACATCATCGGCAGGCGCAAAGATGCCCGCCATGGTGGAACCTGATCTTCCAAGGTAACCCTAAATTGCGCTGCTTACAAGATTATCACATTTAGTGACCCTCTCAATTGGTCACTCGCATGAATACTTATTCCTTTCCTTTTTACTTCTTTAGTAATCTTGCTGACATATTCTCATACACAACTTGTCATGACATCTGCAGGTTCCGAAAAACACCAAATGGAGTCAAAATTCAAGGTTCTCTTCTGCACTGCACTGTTAAATCTTCCTATGAGGTTTTGTTGACACAGCAGAACAGTCCAAAACCAGGATGGACAGCGTTTGAAACAGATTCTCCTCTCGAAAGGAGCCACGATCTAACAGATCGAATTTCAGTTATCACGTAACCTCATCGTGTGTTGTAGGAATTGGAAGACTTGGCTGTCGTGTAAGTTGCAGAAAAGAGCTGAACTCGAAAGTGCTGGTTGTTCTCAGAGGTTACGGATGGAACTGGCCCCGAGGCCAAGACGGGTGACATCTTGGAATTCGACTTTGTGTGCCGTCGGTCCAATGGTTACTTCGTTTACAGGTTCACTTCGTTGCAACATTTCTGAATACATAACCCAATCGAGTATGTGAAGAGCATGCCATTGACATTCAGTTCCTTTATTATTTATTGTTATTGAGTTTCAGTTCTGTTGAAAACTGATTGCAGCACTGTGGATCAGTTCAATGATCAGAGCCAGCCAGTTGTGCTTCCCCTTGGCACCGGAAAGGTATGGCATAGACTGGGCCCACCTGCCATATTTCCATTGTCTTTTTTTTTTTTTTTTTTTTTTTTTTTTTTCTCTCTCTCTCTTTGCTAACTTTGTAGTTGATTCTCTGAGGTTACAGATAATTCCAGGCCTGGAGGAGGTGCTTGCAGGGATGAGACCTGGAGGTATGTAATTTGCATTTATCGTGTTGTGAGTTTTGTTTTTCTTTTGTTTATCTCCACTCTTTTCTAGCAATACTGTAACTGTATTGTATTTGTCAGTATGTTAGATTCCAACTGTAGTCAGATTTACTTGATCAAGTAGGGTGAACTCTAACTCAAAAACCGAATCGACCATGCATTGTATAACACCAATCTAGACATGTAGATTCTTGCAGATTGCATTCTTCTCCCGAAATCAATTGTGGGTTGCCCTACAAAAGGAACTTCATAACCTGACAATCTTTGTTCTCAGGCAAGAGAAGGGCGCTGATTCCACCGGAGCTTGGCTATGTTGACCAATCTTTTGAGCCACTGCCTAAGGAGGTAATGCCAGCCACCTGGTAAAATAGCAAGGATACTCTGTTTTAGAAGGATTTCAAGTCTCTTATCCTAAGTTAACATAAACAAATGTATCAATCCTAACTTGATCTGTTCTGTATTGCAGTTCGGACCTCGGAGAGCCCTGATGGCACATGCCAAAGAACCTCTCGTCTTTGAGGTACAGCTCTTGAAGATAAAGTAAACTCAGTGACCAGGTTTGTTTTTGTGTTCCCAGGGAACAGCTCGTAAGAAGCACCTCATATTATTTCAAATGGATTTCTGACTAGGAAGCACTCCACTTCAAAACATGACAAATGATAAGGCGAAGCATTCATTTGATGACTGTTTGAATCTCGATTAGGAACCTTACATTCTGATATTTTGTTCACATCTCCGAAAGATGTCTTCTCAGTCTAATTAGTTCATGCTTCGGATATGCTTGAGGACAAGTCACTAAAATTGGTTTCAAGAGCGTAAGGAAACACCACGAATCAAGCAAAGAAGCTTCTCAGTGAACGATTGCCAAGCAGAAAAGAAATATTGTCCAGGGTGTAAATTATAATCACTTTACAGTTTGGACCTCGTAATAATCCTCCTACTGCTGAGTCTGCAATAAACTGTTACCCGACAGTATTATGCTTTCGTTATCAAAGCACATGTGCTCAGTCAATCTACCAATCCAAACGTTACAATCATCATTACAGCTTACAAAATCAGTAGAAGCACTGTTTTGTAGCTACCCGCGGATGTAGGAAAGCTGGCTTGGACAACAGGGACAATCGGATGGAACCATAGGAAAGCACTCGTTGGATTACAAGTGTGGACAAAGATAGCATGATAGTTAAACTGCTAAGTGCTCTTCTTACTCTCTCCGGTTGACCTTGAACCTGCCCGTATTGAACTACTATCCTTCTCTTCTCTACTACCTCCAGCTCTCTTACTGACGGAGTCCTCCGTAATACCCACTCGAGGGCCACCTGCCCTCTCTTCCCCGGCTCTATCACCTTGCACAGCTTCCGTTCCTTCCAAAAGATTGGTCTCATCCTCCTTCTCATCATCTCCACCAAACCCGAACTCATTGACGCGCTTCTTGTCAACTGGATACTTCCAACGCTGATACAAGTAGACAAGAAAAACGATATCTGCAGGTATCGCAAGTTGCCTCGTTCAATACGATCCAAAGTGTAACACATCCTACCATATATTTAAACTGTCTCACACACACACGAAAACAAAACAAAACAAAAATAAAAACAAATGCAACACACACACACTGATAAAAAAAAATTTAAAAGACTAGTCACAAGCATTCTCCAATTCTTTCTCCAAAAGAAATATATTGTTGACTCTGCTCCCGCAAAAGATCGCTCCGACAAGAAAACACCATACTATCTAATATGACAAAAGGAGTAAATCAAGTTATAAAGCTACTGAGGTCAGTGGAATAATTTCACACAAAATGTATTGTAGGTTAAAAAGCTTACCATCTCGAAATACAGACAAGCGATGTAGAAGAGGCATCTTAATAACGAAGGCAAATAAGTCATCAATGATAGTATTGAGGAACTTGTAGGTCATCTGTCGCCAAGGCATGTGAGCTACAGACTTCAACTTGTAGTTGATAAAAAGCTGTGGACACATCATGATAAAACCTGGTACATATGAACAGGTTAGTACTCGACATAACCACCATTAACGACGTGTGACTGTCTAATAACCAATTACTTGAATTGATATCCAGAGAAGCCAACAAGTGCACCCAGAAAAACATGAATAATCACCAATGATGGCCTTGAACTTACCAAATGTATACACACAACTTGTCAAAGATCCCAAAATCCAGGAATACCAGCTTTTATGACGGTCATACATAAGCGAGTAGATTGCAAAACCAGCAACCAAAGGATATAGGACATAGGATAGGTATTTCATCGCCAAGGCATCATATTCCTTTGTCTTGTTCCCAGCATATGATTGTCGATCGCTGAATTTAAGAAGAGGGTACCCTCGACTACGATCAATCTGCATAATCACGAGATATAAAATAAGTGACCTAATAAAATTAGATAAAAACGTTGAGGCATCATTGTTAACAAAGGCGACCACTGCAGCGTTTTTTTCTCCTGAACCTTAACTATTGAAACAGAACAAATAAATGCTTTAACTATAACCAAGCTATCCTGCACTGCCAGTCAAATAGAAGTATGAAACGGAATCAAAAATCATGTTTTGAAGGGATCCACGCCACCAATACCTCTACATGCATGGCCTTCCCAATTTTCCAGAATTCAATGCAGCAGCCCATGCCAGCGCTGAGGATGATCATCCAAGAAGTCTCATTGTCCAACAAGTACAAAAACACGATCAACTGGCAAACAAAGTTGATAACGACAGACCGTGCTGATAATCCTTCCATGGACTTGTTCTTGTTCCAAAACTGAATATCTGCGTCCGACCAATTGATCTTATTATGTGCTCAAGGCAAAGCAAATGACAGACATATATTAACATTCAGTAAAATGCTGAGTTAAAGTTCCACTAAACAGTGGATATGTCAAAGAAATAACGCAGCATAATACGATGCGAGTGAAATAATGAGTAATCTCGTGTCTACTTAGGAAGACATAAATGAAATGTATGCACGATATGATACAGGCCTCTTTACCATTTTTGAATGCCAAGAAGTCAAAGACGGTGTGAAGAAGTGAAACACACATCGTCAACCCAAGTAGATAAGGATTTCCTTCCAAAAAGACCCTCTGCGTAGCAAGAAAAGATGATAAGATGAAAGTATATAAAACAAGCATAACAATGAAATCAACCTGAGCTATTCCTGCTTACGACATTCACAGAGTTGGATTGAACAAAATCAATACTGATGTCTAGCTGTGTCCTCACACAAACTAACATCAAATATAGTACCTTCAATTCATCAGCTTCACCATCCATCATGCTCCCATATGACTTATGAATTTGAAATGACTGATCTATTTGTAGATATAGCTGCCACCGAGTGAGACTAATTGGACCAAACTCAAAGTTAACTTCCAGTTTTTCGACGGTCTCATTAAGAGCGATAAGCTTGTCTCTCAGCAACCAAAACTCGTTGAAAAAAACAGTTGGGTAATAACCAGTAGGTTGCAAAAAGCCGTCCCTACTTCGTTCATAGAAATAAGAAAGGTCTGATACTGTAAATTAAGGGAAAAAATAATGCACTTGTTCCGACATGGTCATGTCCACCTCATGATGTTTAATTGCTTGCTCACATTTTAACCCATTCCAAATAAATTCCTGTTTAAAGAAACACCCAAAATTTGACATTGAAGATCATAAACATTGAACAAAACATAAGGACGTGCAATGTAGAGCGTAGAAGCTTTGTTCGTAGTATGAATGGATACGTTCAGCAATTGGTGGTGGGGCGCCAACTTTCGGATATCTAAAACATGAAACAGCGTACTGTCAGAGAATACAACAAGCGATTAAGATTTCTAAGTCTTCATCCAAATATAAGATGACCTCGAACTTCATCAGCAAACACATGAGATTGACACAGCTTTGCACACCTGATCACTTCACAACTTTTAGTAGCCGAATATACAAAAACTACAACCTCAGATGGGAAGAAAATAAGAAGCATTTGGATCAATAAAAGAATTAGCATATGGGCACCTAGTGAAGTCATCCACCAAGTTTATGGTCAGGTTGGGTTTAAAATACGAAACCCATTCGGGAGGACCCTCCTCCACTCCTTCTGCAGGCTCCTCCAAAAGTGGCTGAACATACATGAAAAAAGTATGAATAAATAAAAGCAATATTTGCATCATACATTTCGTAGTTTATATTTTAATCTGCATACTATTCACTGTGGCGTTGAAAGTTTCGAAACTATACGATCAAATACTCACCTCTGAAGAGTTCCCTTTCTCATCCTTTGCAAGCAAACTCTTACGTTTATCAACTTTTGGTTTTGGAAGGTATACAACAAGAGCTGCAGAAAACCAAGGTAAAAGGATTATATGTCACAAATCCCAATCATACTTAAGAAAGTGCTGCACGAACATACACAAAGGTATTTAATCCCTGGAAAGCTCACACCACATTCTATTCTTGCTGGTCGTTTGAAAAGTTTGTTCTAGAAGTATAAGTGACAAATTTATGATAAGCATCAGTCAAGTTATCAGCTCCTTCACATGCAGTGAAAGATTTTTTTTTAAATATGTCAGACAAGTGAATAAAAAGAGAAATCGTATGAACCGTACAAAAACAAAGCTATTGGATACTCAATTTAAGTATTAAAGGGCTACTGCATCCAGCAACGATGCATTGTTTATTAATACGTGCATTAGAAGGAAGGTCATTGCGTCTAGCAATTTGGTGAGAAAAGAAGAGCCAAAAAACAGAGAATACTTACAATGACGTTTACAGAAGAAATCTCGACTCTTCCGATCATCTGGGCTCTTCAGACCATATTGACTAGTCAAATCAAAGTCTGATATTGTAAAACAAACGTGCGCATATACAGTAGCATTATGTTGAGCTGCCTTTGAAGGAGTATATGTGTAGTTTGTGCGACGAACACCATCAGGGGTCCAGACGGCGTAAGGAATGTTTTTCTCTTCCCAAATTGGTTTCACCTTGCCAAAGTCGGTAAATTCTGATGATTCGGATATGTACAAATAAAGATCCTAGAACACACACAAATCAGCGTTAAGATCCCCAAAAATCAAAAGCGAGACTCTCCATAACACGAAATATACAGCAATCACGAAACATCTTACTGGATAATGTTAAAAGTGGCAATAAGCCCACTTCAACAAGGCCTATATGCTACAGCTAAAAGCCACGATGGCAGTGTTCATATGCAATGTCATAGGTATGCAGAAACATATCTCACGTGCATACAAGATGGCTTCCAAGGCTACAGGAAACCAGTCCTCCAAATACAATGCCAAATGTAGGTCCGCATCCACACTCAGGTGAAAGGACTGGCAACTCAGAATTGAAAAGTTGCAGCTTAGAAATACAACCAAGGATGGCAAGCTGTAAAATATTTTCGCTGCTTACACTCTCTTCCACGTCACAACAAGCAATAGGAACTTCATTCATTTAAGACCCAATCGTATCCAAAACTGTAAAAATTAATTTGGTCGGAATGTACATAAGGTGTTCAGAACTACCAGATTATCGCCCTTGTTGAAAAGATTGCCTGTAAGATCAGCGGGATTCTTAACTTTCTTCGGACCGAACATTTGCATAGCGAAGTACCAGAAAATGCCCATCCGAACAAACCCAGCAATCCCTCCGGTCCAGCCCCGCTGCGCGGGAGGTTGTTCACCAGGCCCCGCCACTTGAGTGGCCGGTGCCTGGGGCGGAGCCATTGTTGACAATATACGTTATTATTGCCCTCAGTGGAAAAAAGACTAGTACTGTCCCTGCTGCTGCAATGCAAATAAAACATCAATTAAGGTAAGAGGAGCAGCTCAGAAATCAACAAGTTAAAGATTTGTCCGAGCTAATAACCTACTAACCGAGGATGATTACAGCATTCAAACAAACCATCATACTACTCTCCTACACTTAGTTCACACAAATGTTACATGTATGATAAAACACGATATCGGTAAATTTCTACACGTTAAATCAGACACATGTGAAGTATGCCAGCGTCAACTTACACAGCTGATCTTCCACTATACGCATGTAAATCCGTATACAGATCCATGACTTGCAGCAATAATTACTGAATGATTCAGACGAGCTTTTCGCTAGAATAGAACAAGACTCATGCGCCACTAATGATATGGATTAAGTTTACCATAATATTGAGCCAATATGAAACCTGTCAGTGAGCTCTGCCGATTGCAGCTAACAAGCAAGTGTTGCGAAAAAGGAAAAGTACTCGTCACAAAATATGCTTGATGGAATTTAGAGGTGCTTTGCAATTAACTCGAAAGAAGCCATAAAAAGGCTGCAAAAGTCTCTCTTTTGTACTGGGCTAAGTATCTGATTCAAGTCAGAATTTGGAGAAGATAATGTATAGCACATCTTTATCCGACATTGTAATTTTAAGCAAAAAAAATTAAGAGCGGTGCTAAAATATTTATTACAAAATTAAATAGAAATAAAATTTAAATTTAAAGATGCGCGAGAAAACCGCTTGAACCACCAGCCTCAACAGATATTCATAGCTTCAGTTAGCAATCTTGAGTCAGAGAATGATACCTAAATAAGGTTCATAGTTTTAAAAACCTTCCAGAACTCTACAATTATCTTTAAAAATAAGAATGTAGCGCAAAAACGATGCTTCAGAACAGATCCACTACTTCTAAAAATTAATATTTAAACCTTGATCGGTTAGAACATATATTCGCCACTTCTCCCATAAACCACCAAAACCCTAGAATGTAGCAAAACTGTTCTCGCATATTTTCTGTCCCTTGTATGCTACAACTCTCCGAAATAATTAGGCGCTCATTGACATCATTGAGGACCAGAACTGTCACTACCTCCAGCGAAACAAAGACGCGACTATACTATCTTAAAAGAAGGAAGAAGCACGGATCACTCAAGACAAAATTTAGTTTGATGGACGTTCTGACAATAAAGAAAAAAAACGCTTCAAAGAGCCTTCAAATCAAACACAAAGCGCAAATCCGTTCAATATTGTCGACTTGACACATCTCCAGAACTCCAAAGAAGGAATGACAATAGTTACCAAATCAACCTCCAATTGCAGTACAAAATTTCCTCATCGAATACACCGCTTAAAAAGGACGTGCTAAACCGGGAACAGTGGAATCAGAATTTTATCCTCCAGCGAACATTCGTAACTACAAATATGTAAACTACATGAATGAACCTACACCTCTTGTTCTCAAAATTTCACAAAAACGAGGGCAAGGATCAAAAAACGCACGAGTAAGAATCGAAAGTATGAAGACATCACGGACTAAGAGATAAAGAGGAAGAGACAAGGCGAGCTCGCTCGTTCCCAATACACCAACTCGACTTGCAATTTCGACTGGCATCCAGAAAAAAAGGGGGGGAACAGAGAGGCAACCGCAAAAGATCAAGCACGTAAGGGGCAAGAGGCGAAGATCACGCACCATGTAGAGCAGCCGCGGAAAACAAAACCTCGGCAGCTGAGCGCACAAGCGTCGGGGGAGTAGGCACAGCAACAACAACGGCAGCAACGGCAGCAGCGGCAACAAGAGGCTGAGAAACTCGGTGCTGCAAGCACAGCGAATCAGCGAAGAGGCGGGGGGCGGCACGAGAAGCGACGTGGAGAAGACGACGACGACGAAAAAGTGAGCACTGAAATGCTGGCGCTCGACCGCACGCTTCTCCACGTCCGCAGCTTTCGTTCATCTGGCGTCCAAAATTGGATCCTGTTAGATTCTCGGTGGTGCTTATTAGGGCAGATTTACGCATTGCCACGCGGGACCCCGACACACTTCGCATTGATATTTATATTTATATATAATAGCATATGTAACTACTGTGTATTTATATATGTTAATATTACTTAGAGCTTATATTGGACAGTGAAAATGACGATTAGGCAGAATATATAAATGATAGTGTATGGAATAACATGTACAAAAGCCGAATTTATATTTACTCATAAAACTTGTAATATGATATTCATGACTTGTTGAAGACAATAGTTTCATGAACCACATTATTTTTACCACATGAGAATTTATAATACTTTAAAAAATTCTTATATGTTATTCAACGTTGATCTTGTTTTGAGGCAATATTGTCATATTTGTCTATAATGCAATGTATTTTTAAGTAATTGTAAATTATAAGATGATGATTATTATTGTTTTTATAACACTGTAGTATAAATTCAAAAATTCGAAAAAAATTGCAGAGTTATATTTACGATTCCATGAAAATTACAGAGTTATCAATAATTTTTATATTTACGATTCCATGAAAATTACAGAGTTATCAATAATTTGTATAAAAATATACTAAATATAACAAGATATAAAACAAAGGAATAAAAGTATTTATTAAGTATGAAACTTTATACTATAAGACATTAAGCTTGAAATTTATTTTGTATTAAAATTTTAAACCAGATTTGCTTTTAGAACATATAAGTTCTAAAAAAAATGTAAATTTTAAATATTTCTATATTTTTGTGTTATTTATATAAATTATCAAATAAACTTCATATTTTTAATTATGGTATTTAATTACTTTCATAACATCCATATCATATATAAATATTTGAAAAATAATCAAACCAAAGTATAAATTACTAGACACAGTACTTGATAAATAACAATAAGAAAGAAGAATCTTTGTTAGAAGCCATGAACAAATCCTTATAATAAGAATGACAATTCATTTAATCTAAGACATCTATGTCTTTAAATAATAACAATGATTTTAAAAAATTGCAAACTTATTAGATGATAGTTATAAGACAACATCATGTAATTATTGAGCTGAGCTATAAATATAAGGTTGCTTCTTTTGTGCAACTTTGGCATGCACAAGAATTAAAGTCTTCCCCATTTACAAATGTATAATTATTTACTTTTCCTTTATGTCTTCTATTAGTGAAAAATTGTATTCTATATTATTTAATATAAAACAAGTATGATAATGTCATATATTAGAAGGGTCTAGCCATGAATGCTATAAAACCCTTAAAAACTAACCATATAAAAGAATTGGATCAAGGATTTGCCACAAAATTTATGCAAGTACATAAAATAACATTATTATAAATATCCATTATCAAAAGAATATTTATAAAATTAAATGTGATAGCAATAGCTGGTATCAAAGAATTTTTACAAATTACATAATTAAAGTATTTACTCATCAACAAGATTTAATAGGCATTAGGATCCAACAACTTATGTTCATCAAATTATTAATTAATACCTTTAATTTCTATGAAAGAGACTTAGAATTTTTTTGTTAAACACCAATATATTTATAGATAGATCAAATATTATTGTTGGTAGTATAATTAAAAAACTTCAAATCAAATCCAACTCAAATAATATAATAGACTCCAAGGACTATAAAAACCTAAGTTGTTATGATTTGAAGTAATTCATGAGGTATATACAATAATGTTACAATCTTATATCCTATGAGTTTTACGTTTGATTCTTGAAATAAGATGACTTAAAGTCAATGTAAATAGTATACTAATTTAAGATAATAGCATACTATTCTATTGTAATTTTTTTGTAGATATAAAATAAATACATATAGAATTGGACATGGTAAAGAAGAAAAAGAAAAAGAAAAGATTCTTTAAAAAAATAAACCAAAGATATAATGTGTTTTGGTCTAATTTTTATTAGATATAAAACTTTGTACAAATAATATTAAAAAATAAATAATATTTTTTATTATTATTTTTTTTATATTAATCTAATAAAATTTTCTAATATAAGCTAATATTATATAAAAAGAAAAAGAAAATCAAATATCAAATATGCAAAGAGTTCATTTATAGAATGCAATAAAATTTAGATAGTAAATATCAAAAGCTAACTCATGATTATTTCATGACATTTAAGACATAATAATACTTTTATAACTTATGTTATTTAGAAACATTATTAATAGTTTGGCAATTATTCAAGACATTGGTATTAAATTGTACAATTGCTTGTATATGGGGAATAATCCCATGACTGAAGAAGAACCGTTTATTACATATGCATATTGTAAAATACATATCCTTTGTTGTTTTGACAAGAGACCAATAGGACTATATTTACAATATTGCTAACTTATATTACATTTATCAATACAAAAAAATTATAAGCAGATATGTCTAAATGCATAAATCATCTCAACATTAGAAAACATATATTTGAAAGAATTTATAAGGAATTACAGCTCATTTACAATCTTGGTAATATCTATTAGTTTATTTAGATACTTTTATAAATAAATATGATTTTATCTTATATATATATATATATATATATATATATATATTATTCTTTGGCTTAGTTTTTAGTATTAATCATTAGAAAGAAAAAAAATAAAAATTAATTTCTACTCTTATTAAAAAATAATATTATATAAAAAAAAACTTAACAAAACATACCTCTAAAACACGTGCTAATTTAGATACTTGGAAAATATAGAAAATAATCTAAAAAAATATGAATTGCTTGAAAATTAAAACAAAAGAAAAAAATCAAGTAAGTTATTATGAACTTACTACTTTAAAAATCTATTAGATATTAGAAGTATGGAGTAAAATAATTTTTTTTGCTAAAAACATAATAATTATTAGTAAGGGTGGTTTAATTATTATTATATATCTATAAATAAAGAGCTTTAAATCTACAACTAACATATTATAATTGAATGTATGTTTGATTGAATCATCTAATATGTGATATGTTTAAACAATGACAATGTATTTTCAAAAATAATTGATATAAAATTTAGATTAAAAAAATACAAAAAAAGAACAATACATAGAAACCATATGTTAAATAAATCTAATAATTATACTATCCATACTACAAAAGAAAATTTAAATGATGTTAAAGACTAGGATTTTCAAAAAATCTGATTTGAAATCTATTTACTTATAATTTATAACACATAGACCAAAATTTTGTAAAATAATCTTTTAGAAGATTAGTGGATTTATCAAGAAATATTTGTATAAATTAATATGTTGTGCTATTTTCTAAACTATTTAAAAATAATATATAAAAATAATTTTAAATATTATATTATCAAAATTATTTTAATAATGTATTATTCTTAGTAAAGATATAAAAAACTATCAATATTTATTTAATGATATAATAAAATTAAATTACCTTATAATTAGAGGTTTATATTAGAAAATTATTTTATTTTTAAATAAATAATCTAAAATATAATAGTCTTTGAAGAAGTTCGTATTTTTAAAGAATAAATTGTAATATACAGATAACATATAAACTCTAAAATAAATATTTTTTTTATTAAATTTTCTAAAATTTAGAATTTATTATAAAACAACTATAACACAATTCAATTATATACTCAAATTATTGACCATACTTGCTTATATGGATTGGAAGTGATTACGGCAAAGCAAACATAAAAACCTTCAAGAAGTTTAAAACAAGATTAGCCTAATTGTTAATTCTTTAATACCTTATACTAACCAAGCCATACTAATTGTACACAAATTTGCAGCACTTAATAGTTTGATGTTGTCTTTACTTAAACAAGCAATAATAATAATAATAATAATAATAAATTATATTATAATTTATGACATCTAATATAAAAATTATATCTATATATAATTATTAAAAAAATAGCAATAATATATAATATTTTTAATTTTAATATTATGTATATAATAATAAATTTATGTAATAATAAACCCTCAACTACTCAAGTGGCTTATAGAATTTAAAAAATTTATCAAAAAAAAAATTATAATGTGAATCTTTATGTTATAAGAATATGTCTTCAAAACCTAAGGTATTCCTATTTTTGAAAAAATCAATAAAATATAATGGTAATAAAAATCTATATCAAATATAAATTAAATACATTACCTCTATTTTAAAAATTTATAAAATATATAAACTTATATATATATATATATATATATATATATATATATATATATATATATACATAATATTTTTCATTGTATGAGATAATGTCTTAGACATATATTTATGCCAATAGTTACATAGATACTTTGAATAAGTAGAAGTAGATAAAAATATATTAATTTAATAACATCTTATAGAAAAGCTTCTTAAAAGCTTTATAGATGTAATTTCACCTTTATATATATCTAAAGGTGATTAATAGGTTGAATACTTGGCCAATAAGTTAATCACATGCCCTATGTATTGGTAGTTTATGGTACAAGCTAACTATGTGGTATATGTATAAGATACTTGCTTTGGAAGTTAAGACATATGCCTTAAAAATTGGACATGTGTTGGAGGTCCTATAGAATATTACAACATAGCTCTAAGCTAGATAATATATATATGGAGGCAAGAGTGAAGCCTTCTTCACTCTTATCAATTCCTTTCTTACTTCTAGTTTAGTTTTTAGGATTTCTAATTTTCTTATCTTTTGACAATAGCTATTTTAATTTCTTGTGAATATACATACTTTCTTATTTTTTTTTTCATCTTTCTTTGAGAAAATTTTGGCTTGTTTATTTGCTTTTATTGATTTTTTATTGTTAAAAAATTAATAAAAATATAGTTATAACATTAGAATTTTGTC